TTCATTACTAACTTATGAAAACTGTATTTTTCACAGACTCCTACTCTCCTCACACTCCTGTCTTTGTTATCTCTCCTGCCATATGCTGTAACCATGCGACTCATTGCCAGGAACTATATGCACAGCCTCTGCACTAACCAAATTGTTACAGGCTGTGATAATGATTGAACCCTGAGCACTTCCACTTAGAGCAAAATGAAGAATTTGAACAGACCTCTAAGCAAATTACTTTCATATATGTGAAATTGGTGCCAAAATATCAGAACAGCCCCTAAAAGCAATTGGTACAGTTATGACTGCATGAAGACATTATTTAGGAATATTTGCACATAGTGCTTTTATGCAACCACTTTAAAAACAGAAAATGAAAGGAATTATTTTTTTAACCCTATGCTAACATTGTATACAAGAATTGACTCTGACACAGAGTCCAAGAGAGGATAGGAATTAATGCACACATATCACTGGACAGTTTATACAAACCATCCACATAGAAAATCAGTTCTGTTATAACACAATTTTCATGTGAATGTTGGAGAGGTTACCACTTCCAAACACATACGTTGTCGTTGCATCTATAATCTTGCTAGAACACTGCCTACCTTCCTGCTCTCTCTCTCTCTTTTTAATTCTTTCTTGTAGGGTCACAATTTCATAAACATGTGAAACATTTCCCTTAGCATTCTGCTAATGCTCTATCAAATTCCACATTTGACAATCTACTGAATAAGTTAAAAGATAAGCTTTCTTTTTGGTCATCTGGGAAAAGTAAATTGAAATATAGGGAAATCAGAAGTAAAATTATTATGTTTATTGCTGGAGTAGCTAATATGGTGAATGAACATGATTATTACTGGTGTCTTGTGTGGGCTCTTCAAGGATGCATCTAGTGAATTGTAATGTCATCTTTACTAACAGTATACTTCCAAATGCCCAGAGCTATACTTAAGTGCTTGACTAAGTGAATATTCATTTGCCTAGCCATGTTGAAAATTGCAGTATTTTGAGGATTAACACTTAGATTATGTCCTTCTCTGTCAACTGAAAGATTTTTTGATACAATTTTACTAAATGCCATTAGTTGATAAAATAGCAATCATGTTTTCACAATCACTCCAATTATTTAAATGCATAAAAATCAGCACAGCACCTAAGCCTTACTGAAAATTCAGTAAAGAAAAGGAATCTAGATTTTATCACATCAAATTAACCAGAGAAGATGATGGATGAAAAGGTAGCTTTCAGAGGAGTGTTTCAGCACATCCTATAGGAGCTTTGCTATACAAAATATCTTCAAATATTTCACTTCCAATAAGCTTCCAGCCTAGAGGATTTGGAGTCATTGCATGAAAAACATAAAGGGGACGTTTCAGCCTGTAAGCATCACAAACTCGATCCATGAGTTTTTCGAATATTACTTCGTGCACCAGGGGGAGCTCCTGCAACTCTTTAGCACAATAGAAACCTAAAGACAATACAGGGAACATAATGGAAATAAAGCATGAGAGAGATTTCAGAAAAAAGACATATTCTTCACCCAATAGCAAGAACGACTGTATGAATTTGCACAACATAATCTGCTTATATCTTCTGTGTTCAGTATGGTTCCCTCAGTACAAAGGAGATGAAGAAGCACTCTCCCCCTTTCAGGATGCATGCTTTCCATCAAGAAGGCACAAATGTATGTAGGTTTTAAACAGTCAAAAGGATTAAGTTGTACAAAAAGAAAGCTAGCATGGTTTTTGAGGTGAGATGTTGTTTTAATTGAGCGTGTCACAGGAAAAAAATACGTGAGCAGGTAATCAAAGTCTGTACCATGATAAACACAAAGAATTGAAGTCCGTACCGTAACAAGCACGGATAAGAGGACTTCATTAACACTGCTCGGTCAGCCTCCATTCTTGAAATTCTCTGCTTTTGAGCACTTAACTTTTCAGCCTTCCTTTCAAGCAGAATTTTTTTTGTGCAGTTTCTTGAGGATGTGGGGGTTCTTTTAGCAAACTGCAATATGGAGATTCCATTATGGAAAACAACACAGAACTTCAGCTTGGATCATTAGCAGGGTTAGGACTTTCTAACTATGAACTACCTGAATAAATAGAATAATTGTTATTAACCACAGATTTCTATTCTTTCTGTGGATCGTTCCTCTTTTAGGCACAGCATCCACAGTTTGCAAAGGAGTTTAAGACATCTATCAATAGCAGAAAAAAGCATTCAGCGCCGCACTCCACAGAAGAGATTCATGCTCTAGATGGGTCTGTCCTCTGTTCTTACCCACATTAACTCCTGTGTCCCTACAACTCATTTCTGCAATGCCCTCTTCTTTAAAACTAATATATATCTTATGTCTCCAGAGAAGAATAGGCTATTTCTTTACTAATTTCCTACTTGGGCACCAGTAGAGAGTATAAAAGCACAGGGGAAAGAACTGTGGTTTTCAGTGAGTGTCTGGCTTCATAATAATCAAAATGTTGCTCTAGCAACTAGAGTGAGTGATTGTGAGAAAACCCACACCGTTAAGCATCGACACAAACGCCCAGGACCAACGACGAACAGTGTGGTAATTCTGCACAGGCAGTGCGCACAGCCTGTGTGCACAAGCTTGCAGTTACACTGTAATGAGCCTCTAGTGAGTAGGTTTGAACTGAGATTTTTCAAGGCTTAACAATACGGCTTATTTTGTAGGGGGTCGCAAATGGCATTCCTTATGCCAGAACAAGCCCCAAATGTTGAGCTCCTAGTCCAAAGGACAGGATTGCTAGTGTATCACTGGGAAAAGCCATTTAATATGTGCTATGTATTTTCCCCCAACCTCAATGTCAGAGAGGTTTGATCCATTTCAATTTAAAAATCAGCCAGAAGCATACTCTCAGCATGGCAAATTCAGCGTAAACAGTGAAAAAGTGGCCAAATTGTAAGAACAGGATCTTGTAGCGGGAAGCACCATGCAACCCTGCTGCCAGCTCTGCTGGTAATGTATGAAAACAGACCCACTACCTATTCTGTCTGCACGCTGGAACCCGACCTCCCCTGCGTTCTAAGTACTCTTCTGTATCTTTTCCAAAAATGTATTTGAAATTATTATTGATTTTGTCATTTTCACTTTAGGGTTATATTCATCTCACAGATCCAGTTATATCCAACTCTACCCCATGAGAATTTTCGAAAACTAGAGCTAGAGAGACCAGTGTACAGATATTAGACTAACTAGTTAAAAAGACCGAAGCTGTGTTATTTTCCCTTACATAAGACAGCTTTAAATTGACTTTGTTTCCGTTCCCCAAAATATAACTGAGGACAGTAGCATACTCTGTCTCAGTATTTTATGCTCAATTTAACTGCTATATTGCATTAAATGATGTGCAATAATGTAACCCTAAATGCAAATGAATTTGTGTTTGGTAAAAGAAAATCTCTTTGCTGCCCTCTCCAAATAGAATTTTTTTATAGATTTTAATGAGCTAGGAAAACCAAACATCCCCATATGGTGAGAAAATTTCAAGGCATGTATTAAAAGAAAAATCTTGTGTTACTCATCAAAAACTAATAGATGTGACAGAAGAAAAAAATTAAGCTATGAAGATGAAACTCAAACAATTAGCAAATATGGAAAACCATTTATTACAGTGCTTGTAAAAGACTCAGCACAGGCTAGAAGAGAAAAACAGGCACTTCATATTTTAAGAGTGGAATACATTAAATTTCATTTGAAGCAAATTATTTATAGTTATAAACTTCTCTCAAAAATTAAAATAACACACATACTCCCCAAAATAAATGCATCATTATGATCAGAACTACTGAAGACGTTATCTCCTTCTGTCTAAGAGTGTAATGTTTTCTTACCATATGAAGATTTTGAGGAACTTCCTCTGAATCTCATAAAGTTCCTCACTCAGTCTTTTTCTGAACATTACAGAGTAGCTTGCAGGCCTCTCTGAGCTGTATTTGCTGCCAGTCCCACAGGCATCATTCTGGCAATCTAATGATATAAAATAGTCCAAAGATGCCCTGCAAACACTTCCCTTTCCCTGGATGAATGCCCCTCCCTGATGCAGTAGCCATTCACCCTAAAATAAGCTAAATATATAAAATCTACAAACACAGGGCTGTTTTCTGGTACCCTGTTATTTTGTATTTTGAATAGCTGGCAACAATTCTGGGAATTTGGCCCTGCAACCCCAGTACCTCCCTGATCATTCAATACTGACTGCAGGGCATGAAGATCGACATGTTGCGTAAGCACTGTAACAGTTGTACCGTTCAAAATTGCAGGAACGAAGCTTGCTTGCAGTAAACAAAATACTCGCGTATTTATCTCTGCTGCACTTACCTTTCACTTAACATAATTAAAGAGAACCATGGCCATATGGCAAAAACACAGAACTAGGATTCATGAACCACTTCTATGCTGTGTAGGTTCTTCTGCCACATTTGTCATGGGACTGTCTCAGCTCCTTCAGGATGAAACAAGGTGACAAGCATCTGTCACATATTTACTCTCTCATCTTCTCTCCACAGAAGTGGGAGGAAGAAGGATGGCTGTTTTATATATGTGTCTTGGAAAGGAAGTTAATCTGGTTTGCAAAGGACCTTACTCCTGCAAAAGTCATTGAACAGTTTGAGCCTGCCCCAGCCAAGTTCTGTCTCCTACCCAGGTGAACATTACTTTGTGCGGGAAGAGTCCTGTTGTGCTAGAAAAGCCCAGCTATTGGCAGCAGTATTAATCACTCAACTTTGCTCAGTTTCTAAAATACTTTGTACCGGAACGTGTATACCACCCTTAGCTGAGCATCACTGCCCGTTACTGGGGGGATATCACCTTCTAGGAAAGACAGATGTTTTTACCTTGTTACCTCTATTTCTTGCCTCTACCTGCTTCAGAAAATCCAACACATATTTCAGTTTAGATTCTACACCTGGGGCTTTCTTTCACTGAGAGGTCAAGCAAGACCCTTGATCTGGCTTAACTCCAAGCATAGCACTGAAATGCCAACATCTTAGAGAAGCACTGAGACTTAACTCATAACTGTTTGTCAAATGCTTACAGAATGAAAGGTGCTATCTAAATATCTAAGGATTATTACTCAATGCATGGAAAAATGTTTATTTTCATACAGGATAAGGCTGTGTCAGGAAGTGGTATAGCATTAGTGAATAAGACTCTAGAAAAAGGAACTGCATACTGTTACATTTATACATTTAATAAAGGCTGAATGTGACAATTAAGAAAGGTCAGTACCCTTGAGGAAGCAGGACAGACAGACAGGGAGAGGTGGAAGTAGTTATTTTCGCATTAAGGAAACACGCTAAAATATTCATTGTCTTTATCTGCTGTCAAGATATGTTTTTTGTGTAACAAAAATACCTTTAACCTTTTAAAGACATCACACAAATGTATCCAATTAAACTCTTATGTCCGTAAAGAAGACATCCAAGCATCTGTTTATTACTAACTTTTCTACTCCCACCATAAAAAAATCTAAGTTATTAATCTTTACAGCAATGCCTGATACTATTTCTTCCCACTATTATAATTACTTTAAACTCAGCATAGAAATATTCATGAGTTCTTTCATGCGGGTCCTCATCTGGTGAGACTGAAGGCACAGAACTATTTTACAAAGGGGAACAGGGACGTAAAGCTGCTCTCTGAACACAGGAGAAAATTCACCCTGAGCAAAGGTCCAGAACAATGTCTATGCATCAGTTAAGACTCAGTTAAGCCTTAAAATGGGATTTAATTATGAATTTTATGATCCATTGGCTATGGACTGGTCTTGTCACAGTGCTGCTTTTCTTTATCCTCAGCATCTTTCTGACAAAGATAGGACAACCAGATTGTTACACAAACTTCAGCAGCAGTACACTTTCTAATGATGTTGATCCTGAACCAGTTGCTTTCTCCAGTTACATGATACAATGTCTAAAGCATCCTTCTAATTTCTATACTGTACTCACATGCATCACCACATGCTTTTGCATCACCACATGCTTTGCATTTGCACCTGGTTCTTTTCAATTTAATGCTGTACTTTTGCATTTTTCATTACCAAATTCCCCCACCCCATCAAAAAACAAAGGCAAAACTAGGTGGGACTTACCTTACTACAATTTTTAGAAACTTGGCAAAGTGCACTACTTGACATACTCTCCTTATCTGGCATTCCTAAAAAAAGAATACAGAAAATAAATACGTACTGTACATTTTTTAAGTAACAGTGGAGATACTTATCAATAGAATAGGGAATTGGAGGGGTCAATACTTTGATAACAAACACATTAATCTACGATTTTTTAAGAGCAAAACAGATTTATTCGGACAAAAGTTTTCTCTTGTGAACACAAAAAGGACAAAAAGCTAACTTGTATAAATACTATAAACAGCTTGCTAAATGTAGTACTTTCTCACAACTTAATATTTGAAGTATGCATACAGGAATTATTTATATTTTTTCATTTAACAGTATCTGTGTTTGAGTACCTGGAAGTCAAACGTGACATTGAGTTTGCACTAACTAGCATTGCTTTGCTATGCTATGCTATGCTACACTAAGCTATTGTTTCACAAATAGAACATATTGAACGCATAACATATGGGACAAAATTTGCAGATGCAATTGCTAGCCATCAGATATTGTCCTGGCTGGCATCTAAATAATCCTCTGGCAACTAACTAAAAGTACTGTGATTTACAGAAGTGATGAGTTCCAAAGGCTGCCCCTGGATTCATGTCTACAGCTCTACCCCACAGCTGACAGGTTCTCATGAGGCAGAGACATACCCAAATGTTAATTTAGCTATGTAACTAAGGTCAGAGAGCAGCATGTTTATTGCAGGCTGTCTGCCCAAGCACTAACCCAGGTTCCCAAGCAAGTTGTGTAGCCCTTCCTAAATAAGCCAGTTGGTTATATTTATTTTACTAGCTGGACTCATGGCCATGTTCCATGGAATTCACGTAACACCTACAACCAGATAAATGTTACATGACATTATACAGTATGCTTTAGTCAACAGGCCTGGCTCATAGCACAGATGTGTACAGCTCTGTGTACACTTTTATGCAGCTGGGAATGCAGTTAGGCAAGTTCCAAAGTATTTCCTACTATATGCAGTTGTGCTGGTTTTGGCTGGGATAGAGTTAATTTTCTTCATAGTAGCTACTATGGGGCTACATTTGGATTTGTGCTGAAAACAGTGTTGATAACACAGGGATGTTTTAGTTATTGCTGAGCAGTGCTTACACAGAGTCAAGGCCTTTTCTGCTTCTCACCCCACCCCGCCGGCGAGTAGGCTGGGGGTGCACAAGAAGCTGGGAGGGGACGCAGCCGGGACAGCTGAGCCCAACTGACCACAGGGATATCCCACACCGTATGATGTCATGCTCAGCATGTAAAGCCAGGGGAAGAAGGAAGGGGGGGAATGTTCGGAGTGATGGCGTTTGTCTCCCCAAGTAACCATTACGCGTGATGGAGCCCTGCTTTCCTGGAGATGGCAGAACACCTGCCTGCCAATGGAAAGCAGTGAATGAATTCTTTGTTTTGCTTTGCTTGCATGCACGGCTTTTGCTTTACCTATTAAACTGTCTTTATCTTAACCCATGATTTTTCTCACTTTTACCCTTCCCATTCTCTCCCTCATCCTACGGGAGGGGGAGTGAGCGAGTGGCTGTGTGGTGCTTAGTTACCAGCTGGGGTTAAACCACAACGGTCCTTTTTTGGCATCCAACGTAGGGCTTGAAGGGTTCGAGATAACTACAGATTTGTTTGTAATGTGCTAGATGGAATTTCTAGCTGTTATTGTTGTTTAGCTATTAATCGGCAGGCTTCTCTGCTTGCCATGGGGCTCGCTTGCCTTACTGTATATCAGAGTCTAGTGCTCATTAGTGGCTGCTTTTTGCTTTCGCTGCTTGCTGTACTGCTGTACTGCTTATCATCTTACTCTGCTGTGCCTGGGAACGTTTTGATAACAGCCATGGCGATGCGCATGGGCTGGCAGATGGCCAGGGCATCACTGCTGTTTCTCTGCTGCTGTACTGGACAGGCTAGAACACCAGTGTGAACTCGAGTCAAAGGGACTGTGACCTCTGGATGAGTCCACACGGGAGTAGGACACCCTGAAGCATCATGGATAAGCCCATGCTAGAGCAGCTACATCTCGAAGCATCTGTGGCCATGGTCATGTCTGTGCCGCAGCAGGTATACCTCGGAAGGGCTGTGGCCCAAGGAGTCCACGCTGGAGAAGGTACACCTCGAAGCACCTGTGGCAGTGGGTAATGTCCATGCTGCAGCAGGTACACCTTGAAACATCAGTGGCTGTGCATGAGGTCATGCTGGAGCACCTCAAAGCGTGTGGCCATGAATAAGCCCATTACAGAGCAGGTACACCCCTGGAGGTACTGCAGCCATGGATAGGGCCATGTTGGAGCAGGTTTACTTCTGCAGGGACTGTGGCTGTCGGTAAGGCCATGCTGGAGCAGGTGCACCTCAAAGTGACTGTGGCTGTGGGTAAGTCTATGCCGCAGCAGGTATACCCCTGGAGAGACTGTGGCTCATAGATAAGGCTCCACTTGGAGCAGGTACACCCCTAAGGGATTCCATTCTGTGGATAAGTCCAAGCCAGAGCAGGGGCAAGGGGAGGAGTTCATTGCAATGTTAAACCCTATGGTCTGGTCCAAAGGGGCCAGGGGAGATTGTAATGGAAATACCTTTAAATTGTTGTAACCCATTATTTGAGTTGCATGTTATAGGAACTACTATAGCAGGAACCACCTGAACTAGTGGAGGACAAGCCTTACAAGAAGCAGTGCAACTGCAGCAGTGACCCAACCTGAGCTGGCTTTGGTGACCAGTAACTCCATGCAACACACCACCTCTCCTGTCCTAAGTGAGGACAGGATGGAGCCCAAAGTCATAGACTAAATTAAAACTAAATATGGACTAAGTCATAATACCAAACTGAATTTAAATTCCAACACCCAAAATCAGAGGACTTTCATCTTCCCCTTTCTTCTCTTTTCTCTTTTTTCTCATACTTACTGTCATTGTTGGAGCCGGTTTCCATAACACCATAAGGAGGAGTGAGAAGTCCAGACATATACTGTCGATATTTCTGAAAGACAGCGATAGCACATTCAGCCAGGTACAGATGTATAAAGCTATTCAATGGATGATGTGGTATTTGCATTTGTGTGTCTGCTGCCTCGTGCTTCACATGCACACAAGCAATCTGAAGCAGTCAAACATGTCTTTACTCCTAATGTTACAAGGCCTGCTTTCTTGACTGGAGCACACTGCCTTTCTTTTATCAAAAGTTGTGCTAAAACAGTTCCCTCCATCTTCCCCAAAGCATGACTTTGAGGGTTCTAATAAACCAATACTCTACTTAGTTGTGTGATTTCCCATAAAGGCTGTCTTAAAGCTCATTTGAAATTACACTGCTCAGCTGAACTCAAGCTAGAAAGCTATTTTATTGTAGGGATGGAAACGGAGACAAGGCTGTTAACTAAGGATTCATGAGAATCATGTACCACTACAATTTTGGTGTCAGATTTGAAATATACACGATTTAGTGCAAAAACTCTAAACATTTAATTCCAACACACTAAGTTTGATTTTCAGAAACTACAAGGTTATGAAACACACAAACACAGCACCTCATGTTATGTATACATGCACACAAAAACTGTATTATCAGATGAACCTTTGTAACTGTAAAAATAATGTCCATCATACCACCGTAAACTACATAATTGTAACTGATGAGAGTAACTGGTATTTTTCTTCAGTGAATGCTGGTGACATGATCAATAAGATTCAAAGCTCTGTCTAGGGCTTAAGAAATTCACAGAAGCTAAAAAATAACACCAAAGGAAAAAAATGTCCTTTTATCAAATACAAATCATTCAATGAATGTGAGACATTTTTGGTTTCAATCATACTATATTACTGTCATGCTTAAGGGTAAACAATTATAATTCCCTTTCGGAACTGTCAGAAAACAATCCTGTGCAACAGGGATGCTGATGATCAGCATAAACAAAATGTGTCATGCAGTCCTTAGGGTGTGCAGTGAGCTGAACGTGAACCAACCAGCTGAAATTCACATAGGTTTCAACTAAGCACACATCATAATCGAGACAGAAAACTTCCCTCATAGTACAATTTTAATTTATAAGTTTTATCCTTTGCTCTGTGGAGCTGTTGGATGTATTCACTTTTAAAACGTTGTCTGCTGGATTTTACCAGATGCTTAAATTATCCTTTTAACTTTTTTTTTCCTTGGAAATAGATATGAAAATATCATCAATTCTAGCACTAAAGACTGAATGTCTTCATTCTAAATAATAACAAAAGCCACAAAGATTACATTAATCTTAATAATCCAATCCTATTTTTAGACAAGCTATTACATCCTAAAGCTTAGTAATGTATTATTTAAATCTCACCCATAATCCAGCTGAAAACTCATAGGAGCAAAACTATGTTATATCCCTGATCAGTCACACGAAATAAATGCTACTTCATTTGAGGATAAAACTCTCCTATTTTCTTTCCCAAACCATTTACTTTCCCATACTCTGCATCCAGTCCTATGCCTGGAACTCAGTGAGAGGAAGAACATATAATTATTTTCTCAGTTCAACTAGTAAACCACACACATAAAACAAGGGAAAAACTCATTTTGGTTGGCCAAATGGAAAAAAGGAAAGCATGTCACAAGAGGTTGAAGTAACATTTTATCCAAACAGTAGGTAAGCGTTTTGTTCTACCTTCTACTGAATTTGGTCTTGGAATGTGATTTAGAAATGGAAAATTGAAATGTTTTATTTGGGATATGATAAAATCAAATTTTATAAGTTTTTTTCTTTTGTTCTTTCTCACCGTTCAGATGATATCCATTTCTTTGTTCTGTTTTTCCCAAAATAGCACTTTCCCAGAAATACATTATTAGTCCACCTTGATAAGGAATTTGAATTGTAGGAAGACAGTAATTTTCTCTTTTATTTCCTATACCATGTTCACAGTCATCATACACTGTATGGCAGTTTCCCTTCTGATTAACTCTTTAATATTTTTCCTGATTTGAGGGCCTAGCTTAACAAAAATACCTGCAGGTAGAATAAGCCAGAGTTGCATATAACATTTAAAAGGAGGCACCTTAACCCCATTCAGCCCCACCTCATGCTCAGGATGCCAAAGTCCACTGGGAACAAAAGCACAGGCTGCCCAGGACTTCAACTCTGTCATCTTCCACATGAAGGTCCCACCCTGCCGTGGCATGAGTCTACTTATGAGTCTGATACAGCAAGCCCAGTGAACAGCACTGCCTGTGAAGCAATTCAGGCACCATTACCAGAAGAGGCACTAATTCAAGGCATGCCCTCAGAAAGCTCAGTTGTTCAGACTTCTCCAGGGGACCAACTGCATAAAAGAAACTACCTTCTATATCTGGGTATCTGGAGGGAAGGCTGATATGACTGCCTACACACGGTCTCCCATGAAGATACCTCGATGGGGTGCAGGCTGACATAGGAGCCTAAAATTGTGTCACTGCATCAATCAAATTAAATGTCAAGGGACACTTATTTGTCAAGAAGTCAGGGAAACACTGTTTGCTGGGAAACCTAAATATCCACAGAGATGTAAATAACTGCATAAAGATTCACAGTATCAGATGGAGTAATGAAGTTCCAGGCATGAGATCTCTCAAAGCTGAGATAATGAGGAAAATACAATACTGACTGTGAGACCCATCTTGTTACCGTAATGTCCGTAAATGAAAAGAAAATGCAATAAGTTAAATTGTACTGGTAGGTGGCATTTAAAATCACCCTGAAGATTAACAGACTAAATATTTACAAAAGGCTTTTGAAAATGTATTCCACTGGTGGTATGAACTCTGGAAAGGCTTTCCTGATGAAAGACAACAACAGCTATCAAATCATCATAAGCTTGTTTATTACCAGAAGTCTTCAAGTTCTGTAAATCCAACATGACAGCAGGTTTTAAAACTACACTCAGTGACCTATTCACTCTGTCTTCAGATTTCTACCAATTTATAAACTCTGTCAAGCAACAGCTTAAAGATCAGACACTTCCTGCATTTAGTCTGACAGCACGAGTAATAAAGATGGTATTTTTTCTTCCAGTTACTGACCACCTCATACCTGTGCAGTGGTGAAAATTAACACGACCTTTTCAGCCACTGCTGTAGCCTAAACCACAGAAGAGTGCTGACAAGGAACAGCTGGGGATGGGAGAAAAGGAGGAGAGAGAATCACACACTTGCCTTACTGGGGAGGTGCTGTGGGTGAATTTTCATACCAACAGTTTTTAAGGCCACTCGTTGTCAGGCTTTTCAGTGTGTTCCTTCACATGGTCTTATTTAGACTTTATTTGCAGTTAGCTGCAGTTACTCTCAAAGGTTTTCATGGCTACAGTAGATTTTCTTCTACTCTATGAACATAATTTGGTATATTTTTATATGCTAATGTTTAGAAAGGCAATTACTATAATGCTGATGCAAGCTATCTTTAAATTTCTCTACAAATTTTTCTAGTGTACATAAGGTATATAAAATATGTCTTTGTAGTCAGTCCCTCTCTTCTGCTGCAAGTACTGAAGAGCTAATACCTGTTTAAAGGGAAAGAAGGAGCAAAAAAGGGATCTGTACAATACAAACACTCCAAAACAAGCCAGGCAGATGTGAAGAAAATAGATGAGCCTTTGTTGTCTTCCACATGCATTGCGTAGCAAAACCACAGCACTCTAACGGGAAAGACTCAGGACTGATGAAGGGAAGACCTCCTGGGTATAAAGCTTTGAACATAGGTTTCACACCAGATACTCCCCCAAGTGCAGCAGTTCTCCAGTCAGCAAAGAGTTACCTGATGGGCTGTGTAATAAGGACCCAGGTAGTGATGGTCTGTAGCACTAGGGAGTCACATCAAGCTTCTGACACTTCCCCATCCCAAGGTAAACCTACATGAGTGGCTGGAAAGCTGCCTGGCGGAAAAGGACCTGGGGTGTTGGTAGACAGCCGGCTGAACATGAGCCAGCAGTGTGCCCAGGTGGCCAAGAAGGCCAACAGCATCCTGGCTTGTATCAGGAAGAGTGTGGCCAGCAGGACTAGGGAAGTGATTGTCCCCCTGTACTCGGCGCTGGTGAGGCCGCACCTTGAATACCTGTGTTCAGTTCTGGGCCCCTCAGTACAAGAAGGACATTGAGGTGCTGGAGCGTGTTCAGAGAAGGGCAACGAAGCTGGTGAAGGGTCTGGAGCACAGGCCTTATGAGGAGTGGCTGAGGGAACTGGGGTTGTTTAGCCTGGAGAAGAGGAGGCTGAGGGGAGACCTTATTGCTCTCTACAACTACCTGAAAGGAGGTTGTAGTGAGGTGGGTGTTGGTCTCTTCTCCCAAGTAACAAGTGATAGGATGAGAGGAAATGGGCTTAAGCTGTGCCAGGGGAGGTTTAGGTTGGAAATGAGGAAAAATTTCTTTACGGAAAGGGTGGTCAAGAATTGGAACAGGCTGCCCAGAGAGGTGGTGGAGTCACCATCCCTGGAAGTGTTCAAAAAACGGGTAGATGTGGCACTTCGGGACATGGTTTAGTCTAGTCTACCCTTGATTGGCTTAGAGTAGACTTGGTAGTGTGGGTTAATGGTTGGACTGGATGATCTTAAAGGTCTTTTCCAACCTAAACGATTCTATGATTCTATGTGGCCAGATACTAGGAAGTGAGTGTCATGTAACATCAGAGGTTTTGTAGACCACAACAAGTGCTTGGTGGAATCCATGGTCTCTCTCTCTTCCTCCTCCTCCTTCTCCCCCCCTCACAATCTCAACCCACAGTGCTGCTTCTGACCAGATGCACTTCTGCTGCCTCCTACTCTGCCTACCACTGGCAGCAGAGAAGGTGACAAGGCGGAGCCTGCATTACTTGCAAATACAAGTAATGCGAAGTAATTCATTTCAGTTGTAGAAATCCTAGGCCAAACATCAAGGTGCCCTTTCCACACACGCTTTTCAAAACCTTGTGTAACTATTTTATTAGATGCTGTTATTTTGACTGTTACCTGAGTTCTGCTATCCTCCTGTACTAGCTGTCCATAC